TGGAAAAGATAAACCAAAGCAGTGATTGCTTTTGTGTGAAAAAGAAAGTTGGGGCTGGTCCCATTCCTATTTAAATATGTAGAAACCAGAGTGCAGACCATGACGGAGATAACACCCTTAGTACTGTCCTTCAGCATGAGAGCTTCTCTTGCAGGAAGCTTCTGGTTCTGCTTCTTTGTCTTCTGTTTTCTTGAGTTTGCCATGCTTTTAAATGGAAAGACACAGGATGGTGCTGGGAGGTGGGTTGTACCTCTGCCTTGCTGTACTGAACAGAATACAGTGAAATAGCTTGTGCACAGCTTGTACTGCCTGCCCTCCTCTGCCAAGAAATAACATAACAAGGGATGAACAAAGGGTTTCACTGTTACTGTGTTCCTGCAGCTAAATCAGAGGGGGTTGCAAAACAGCATTTGAGCTGCCCCACTGTTACTGTGTTCCTGCAGCTAAATCAGAGAGGGTGTTGCAAAACAGCATTTGAGCTGCCCTGTTTTGGCTGTCAGCTAGGCCTGAAAAAAGCACAGCTTGGAAATCATGCTGGGTATCCTCTGGCTTGAAATAAGGAAAAGTGCTGATGCAGAAAGGGTGTTCCCATGCAGAGGTGTCTTTCCTGTGATTCTCCTTTGTAAAGAAATCTCTCTTGACTTCCACTGTTCTGTCTGTAGGTGGGAGATCTTCGTGTCTCCTTCTTCTATGCAGGTCTGAGTGGAGATGACCCCCATTTGGGCTCTGCTGATAAGGTTAGTCCTGAGCTGTTCCTGTGTTTTACAGACTCTTCCCAGCTCAGTAACCAGTAAATGTTCTCCCTTTCTCACAGGTGACTGTGGTCGCTCGCCAGCGAGGAGATCAGCTGGTGCCATATCATACCAAGTCTGGAGATGTCCTGCAGATCCTGTACCCTGGGGACCTCACTGTGGAGGTGAGATAGATACACACTGGAGTAGTGAGGGTTAAGACTGGAGATGGTAGCGTGGAAGCAACAGGGAGTAGGCTCTCCTTTTCCTTCTCCTAAACCACTGCCAGCTCTGGTTTGCTCCTCATGCACTGGAATCAGGAGGATCTGGAAAGGAATGGAGGGGCAGGCTGCATGTGGTGGTGTTTGCTTTCAGGAAGTGTTTCAGAAGGAGCACCAGGGTAACACCATGAAGACCTGGGCGCTGCGTGCAGCGGGCTGGCTGGCCATGTTTGTGGGCATCAGCCTCATGACCCGAATCTTCTACACTTTGGGTAAGTTGTTTTACAGAAGGATGAAATGATTTTGATTAATTGCTTGCATGTGCAGTTATGACTTTGGAGGGCAGGAGGAGTCTGGTTTGGACTTGGGTTGGATTGGATCTGAAAGCTGCAGTAGGCAATTGCAGGGAGACAGGATCCCAGACCTGGATGGCTGCTTTGTGAACGTTAAAACATGCACAAATACCTGTTGCCAGTCTCAGGAGCCCCCAGCTCAGTGCTCACCAAAACCAGGACCTAAAGCACTGTTGTGCTGGTTCTTCCAAGTCCAAGGTGCTGCAATCCAGCTACTCTCTAAACCCACACACAGGTGGTCCCCCAACAGGTCTTGGTAGTTGTACAGTAACATGTCTGCATGTCTGGTTCTTTTACTAACAAACAGCAAGGAAAGCTTTTATCCTTTTAACACAGAAAGATGTTGGAATAAAAACATAGAAAAGCAGCTGGTGCCTCAAACTTGTATAAACCTCAGACATCAAAGCTAGTATTTGCTTTGTAGCTGTGAACTCTTTTTTTTTCCTCTCTCCTATTTATCCGTAGACATGCTACTGCAAGCTTTACTGTTGCCAGAAGCTAGTTTCTGTGCTAGTGTATTATATCAGTTGCTCTAGACCTGTTCCATAGCTGCAAGGCTGTCAAGCTGCTCTGCCTCTCAAGCCTTGGACATGTCTTCTGACTTAATATGGGATTGCTTCCTGTCTGAAGGGATGAGGATTCCATTGCTTTATATATTCAGCTCTGGTTGGTTATCAGATGCCTTGAGGATGCTCTGCTGAAATGCCTTACCCAGTGTACTTGATAAATAATTTGAGTGTCTTTTGATTGCAGTAATTAGTGTGCAAATCCTAAGCATGATTTCCTGTTAAACTATCATTTATCAACTGCTTTATCCCTGGTTTAATTCTTTCTGCAGTGGACTGGTTTCCTGTTGTGAGAGACCTGGTTAACATTGGGTTAAAGGCGTTTGCGTTCTGCGTGGCCAGCTCACTGTCGCTCCTGACCATCTCCGTGGGCTGGCTCTTCTACCGGCCTCTCTGGGCTCTGCTCATCGGGCTGCTCTCTGTGGTGCCCATTGTGGTGGCGAAATCTCGTGTTCCACCAAAAAAGCAGCAGTGAGGAGGAGCTGCTTGGGGTTGGGCACTGACTTCCCAGTTAGAGGCTTCTCTGCTGCGTTCCTGTTAACTGCAGCACGCTCACAGCGCATCCCAGGCCAGCAGTGAGTGCCCAGCGCTGGGCAGGGGCTTGCTACACCTTACTCATGAAAACAGGACTCTAGGATGGTGTTTGTGGAAGTCAGTGACATTGACTTTGGGGGGGAAAAAAGGATTTTGGAGTGTCTGTGTTGATCCTAAGTCAGTGACCCAGCAGTTTGTACCTCTTACGGCTCACTAACTCCCATTTGAGCACTGGCAAGTCCTCACTGACCGGTGAGGCACCTTGTGTCTCATGGAGCAAGCACCAGCTTCATCTATGGAGGTGATCAGATCTCCCTAGGAAATGTGCGTGCCTCTCTCTGCAGCCTGTTCTCTGCACAGTCACATATGCTGCTCTGGCTGATGCATTAGGCAGTGTGTGTGTGTGTGTGTGTGTGTGTGTGTTCAAAAGGGAACCACAACTTAGATTTCACACGATGCTCATGTAAAATGTACACTTTGGAGTGAGGGTTTTCAGAGTAACTTGCAATAACAAGTGAGCAGGTGAATGTGCTCTGAGGCAATGCAGATTTGGTACAAAGCATTGATTTCTCCCAAGCTTTTTATAAGTCTCCAAGTTGTTCTTGGTTAAGCATCCAAAACGGAAGTATGGACCTACACCATTGTGTAACTGTATCAAAAATGGAACTTTGAATTGCACCTACTTCAGGGGGTCCGCTCAGAGGTCACTGACCTCCAGAAATCAAACCTGCTGCCTTGAAATGAAAGTAACTTTTATAACTGAATGTATATTCTTCGTATTTGGGGTTTTTTGCTGTGTGTACTGTTTCTTTCTTGAATTTCACTTAGTAATGGCAATGAACATACTCCATGAAATTCAATCATGAAAACATTTTTGCCTGATTAGATTTCATAGACTTTAGTAGCCCGAGTTTTGAGCTTTTGTATTTGTATCACGGTAGAGGGATGTTGCCTTGTGTCTGATGCCGCACATCATTGATGTATTTCTGCTATAACCAGTACTTGAGGTTGGAGACTGTCCCATACCGGTTTCAAGTCTCTCTTCACCAAGCTGGAACTGGGCTCTCCCTACGCTACAGGGGGGTTCTTTCTGTAACTATGCCCAAGTCAGTGCAAATAAATAGAATGTCTTCATTTACTTTTGCCAAGGGTCTGTAGGGACAGGCCAAGGGGAACGGCTTTAACCTGCCAGAGGGGAGACTGAGGTGAGCTCTGAGGCAGAAGCTCTTCCCTGGGAGGGTGCTGAGGCGCTGGCACAGGGTGCCCAGAGAAGCTGTGGCTGCCCCATCCCTGGCAGTGTTCAAGGCCAGGTTGGACACAGGGGCTTGGAGCAACCTGCTCTAGTGGAAGGTGTCCCTGCCCGTGGCTTGCAGGGCAAGAGCTGCTTGCTGCAGGATGAGCTGCCCGTGGGGGAGGTGTCATGGATCACACGCTCTTTTTCTATATTTTATTTCATTCTACAAATACGGTACAAAAATAAAGCTTTTTTTCTGAACATAACTAGGCATAAGCCATTTTCTTGCATGTCAACCTTTCCTCTGTGACAGTGCCCAGCAACTAGACTATTCCCCTCCACTTCTGAAGAGACAGTGTCAGTGTAACTTATGTATAACTATAACAGACAGATGAGCATTTCTACTGCAGGAAAAGCTGGTGCAGATATAATATTCCTCTCAACAGCTTTGAAATGCTAAGGACTGTGGTAACACAAACTCTCTGGTTTCAGAGAGTTTTGCTTCTGCCAGTGACACTTGGCCACTTTTACAGGGTTTGCCTCAGAACATGCCCATGTGGTCTTGATAAAACTGAAGTAATTTGAATATATGTATATATATATGTATACATCTGTATACATGTACATATGTATTTGAATACATATATACATTGAAATTAAGATATACTGAACCTTAAGTTTGAACTGAGGAGAGGGCTTCTCCCTCCTAATGCACACAATTCCTGAAAGCAAAGGAAGACACGGGCTGAAAAGCCAAACCCGAGCTTCACAAACAGCAGAAATTCTTTAGGAAGTGAATTTCCAGATTCCTCCAACTCCTGACTGCATGTTATACCTTAGGGGAAGTATTTCCCCTTCTGTGATGATGAGCCAGCAAGACCAGAGCTCCACCTCACCACTGAGATGTGTAAGGTACAAATCAAACGAGGTGTCAGTAGTTCTGTAGCCAGCTCGCTGCAGGCACAAACAGCAGCCACGTGCTGTCATCCTGAGCAAACAGGAAAGAATGGGAAGGAGAAAAATGGGAAAATCCAGTGCTAAAAAGAAGGAAAGCCTCAGAAAAGAGAGGTATTAGTGCTAAGTGATACAGAAGAGAGCAGAAAACCCTGACACCACAAAGTGATCTTCTCAGAAGGTACCACTTCACCTCTGCTTCTAAGTGCAAGGATATAAGGACAAAAGGATGGATCTCATCATCTGTGACAGCAAAAGCAGCTCTGGGTACTGAGTGAGGCTGGTCCCTGACAGCTCAGAAACACAAGTGAAAGGGCTGCATCCTCTTAGGAAGAGTGACTGGTAAAGGATGCCTGTTGTGACTGTTGTTCCTGTATCGGGGAACAGCAAAGCAAAGCTTGTTCTGCTCACAGTTTCTCAAAAGGGAACAAATGTGCTTCTTCCCCTTTCCTTTCCCGCTTGCTCTTTCTGGTTGTCTTCTCTTCTTTTTTCATCTCCAACTGGCGATTCTGGGGCCAGAAGAGATCCACATTCCCTGCTGCAGGCTCTGAGCTCGGACCTCCTCCTCCTTCAGAAGAGGATCCCGCTCCTTTCTTGGTCACTGGTGCTGATGGTTCAGTCTGGAAAAAACAGGCCTGAAAATCAGAAACCTGCTCTAGAAACCACTCAAAACTGCCCCTCTCTGAACGGCCTCATCTGTCACATCAACACTTCATCACATTACAAAGTCATTAAGTGGCTTGGGTTTCTCACCAAAGCAGAGTGTTTCTGCCCTGGATGTCAAGCATCCTTTCAACACAAAGTGGTTTTGATGATGGAAGACTAAACCCAAACTTAATGAAGATGATCACCCTTTCTCAACAGGGAAAAGATTAAGAACGAGCAGCAGCCCAATCTCACCCTGTTAGCTACACGCTTGGCTTGGAGGAGTAACTCTAGGAATGGGGTGTATCAAAACAGACTATACTACCAAAAAATACTAACAAAAAATGATGATGGTTTAGGAAATACTAATCTCTTGATCACAACACTGAGTCTTACATGGACATGACCACGTACAATTTCTGGTCTACTGTTTTTTACTACTTCTTAGTCACATGCTAACAACAGGGAAGAGGATTGGTTTTGAGCAACTACACTGTGGAAGTTCTACACGCTGCAGCTGGCAACATTAACACACTGGGGAGACTGGAAAACAATCTAGTAGCGGCTTGTAGGGACAGGACAAGGGGAGTGGCTTTAACCTGCCAGAGGGGAGATTGAGATGAGCTCTTGGGCAGAAGCTCTTCCCTGTGAGGGTGCTGAGGCGCTGGCACAGGGTGCCCAGAGAAGCTGTGGCTGCCCCATCCCTGGCAGTGTTCAAGGCCAGGTTGGACACAGGGGCTTGGAGCAACCTGCTCTAGTAGAAGGTGTCCCTGCCCATGGCAGGGTTGGAGCTGGAGGAGCTTTAAGCTCCCTTCCAACACAAACCAGGCTGGGACTCTATGACTCCGTGAAATACCACCCTGAAAAAGAAATCACTAATAGAAATGCAGATACCCTGAAGGAGTAGCGTTGCTTCAGTCGCTCTCTGATGAGAAGTCCTTTTATCAGCAGCTTCCAATTACCCAGAGCTCTCTTCTCACGCTTCTACATGGGGTTGTTATTGAAAAGAGGGAAATTTACTACTGTAAGTTTCAGTGTATTTACATCCACAGCAAATGGAACTTTAGGATTTTGAACTGCCATTAAAACCCCCCCAGACCAACTTACACATGTCACATTGCAAGATCACAGGTCAGTGGATTTCTTAACAGTAAAACATATTGGTGTCCAGTTATCTGCTAAACACATGAATTGCTGCCACTTTCTAACGTGCTCCCTGACGGTGTAAATTACACCACCCCCAAAACTGTAACCTCATGTGTGTATCCCTCATTTTGGAATAAAATTGTTGGAGCAAGTCCAGAGGAGGCCACGGAGCTGCTGCGAGGGCTGGAGCAGCTCTGCTCTGGAGCCAGGCTGAGAGAGCTGGGCTGGGGCAGCTGGAGAAGAGAAGGCTCCTCAAGGGGACACCTCAGAGCAGCTCCAGTGCCTAAAGGGGCTCCAGGAGACCTGGAGAGGGGCTTTGGACAAGGGATGTAGGGACAGGACAAGGGAACCTGCCAGAGAGGAGATTGAGATTGGCCCCTCATGGTCGCAGAGCTGCAGGCCTCCTGTTACACAGCCCACCCTTGTTTGACCATCCACAGTTTCAATTAAATTTACTTAATAAATAAGGAAGCTGCAAAAATAACTCTCACCTCCTTCTCCTTCCTTTCTATTTCTGCTTGTTCATTCTCCCAGGCAGCAATGAGCACCTCTTTAAACTCCTCACAGACAACGTAGCCGTCAGTGCTAGAATGAAAACACAATCCTTGGTCAGCTACTAGAAGGAAACAGAAAGGGAGCAAATGCCTGCTGACCAGAACTGCCTCAACAGATCCAAGTGTGTAACTCATCACATGTGCTCCTTAACACAGGGAATACAACTTGTGCAGGACATCAAGATCTGTCAGGTGCAGCAAAGCAGCTTTACATACACTGGGTGTGAGTAGCCACCATGAAAATCAAATCCAGTGATGGCCTGAGCACAGTCAATGTCCAGCTTCCGCGCCACTCTGTTCAGGTTTGGGAGTTTCAGCTGCACACAGCCAATGGGTAACATGCATGGCAGGAAGAGATAGACATTCCCATATTCATTCCGAGGAACCTGTCATTGCAAAATCAAAGAGAAACCATGAGAGTCCTGCTCTCTGCAGAGGTCAGAGTCCCTGCTGCAGCTTGGGGACTCTCCCTTCACTCTGACCTGCTACGTTCCACTCCAGTACTTGATCAGTATCACGACAAGGCAAAAGCCTCGATTTTAGCTCATGGTTATCTCCCAGCTATGCTGTCTGCCCAGGCCTTGCTACTCAGGCTGTAATGCTGAGAATTAGCAAAACAAAAATGGGCTAGGAAAATGAGATCAATGAAATGCTGAAGTTGGCAGCCTGCACTGCAAGCACGCATCACTTGTACTGGGGAAAGTCCTCAGGGAAGTTCTGACCATTCCCTCCTGGGTACAGTAACCTCCGAATCCAGAGGTTATTGACTGTCATTTCACCTCTAAAACATGCAACTTCTGGAAAAATAAAGCCCACAGCTCCATATAAACCCTGCCTTCCCAGCTACCTTTCCATCCACTGCTACAGGCGGCTGGAACTCCTCTGTCTGCCAGTGACCGAAGAGCGCCAGGTCCTCCCTGTCCTGGTCTGCAGGCTTTGCGAGACGCGCCTTCCGCGCCTGGTTGGAAAATCCTTTCACCATCTGCACAAATACAACAACCAGGCCTGTAACACTGCAGCAAAAAGCTGCCAGTGCCTTCAGGCTTCCCTAGGACATCACAGAGAAGGCTCTGGGAGAGAAGAAATGCCCATTTCCTAGCTTCAGTGTCTATTGCTGCTAAGTGATACCCCACGGCACCTGTGGGAGTTCATCCTGCAGTTCACAGAGAACTCTAGGATGCCTCTGGAGGTGGAAAGTGTGTAGCTCTGCTTGGGGTGGGAAGAAGAGATACCTGAGCTCTGGGTATATAGGAACTAGAGGCACAGACTCCCAATACAGACACCACAAGCCACGCAAGTGAGAATGTTCATCCGCTGACAGAAAGAAGGCAAAACTCAAACCAGAATTGAGCTTGAACTTTAGAGGGCAGAGGAAGTCAAACCCTCTTACCTTGTAAGGCATTTCTCCAATCCTCACCACGCGAGCTTGCTTCAGCCAAGTGTCCTTGGAGTGCAGCGTGTGCACACAGTCCCTACAAAGGCCAGAAGGAAGGAACCATAAGAGTTTTGAAGTCTCTCTAAACTGTTATCACATTCGGAATGGTAGAAAAGCTGTCTTGAAGTGTTACACAAACGCTGTCTGAGCAGCTAAATGCCTCTCCTTGTCTGTGCATGTAGCCTGAGACTACTGCTGGTCCTGCACTACTCACCTGGAGTAGACAGCCTCTCCCTTGCAGTACCCCAGGATAGCAGCTGACTCCGGATAGATTGCCTGGTATTTCAAGAGGTGCCTCTTCAGTGCATAAAGAGGGTGGTTTTTGTACTCTCCAATTGCAGTTGGGAGAGGCTGATCCTGAAGCTTAACCTGAAACTGTAGGAATTGTACAAAGAAAGAGTGATTTCATAACTCCCCTGCACTACTCCTGGGTACCAGAGTACTGTGAGAGGGATAATGCTGAACTTGTACAGGAACCACAGGAGTAAATTTCCAGCATGGGCTGCCCAGTACTTTCGTTATGCAGATTTATCTGAAGAGCCACCATTTGATACTATTTTAATCTATCGTTGTATATTCCCATGCTCAATTTGAACCTTTCAAGCCAAACACAAATTTCCTTCCTCATGGAAAGATCTCTAATGCTTTTGGCCTGAATGAGAATCCAAGGACTGGATTCCTGGCCCTAAACGTCCTAATAATCTATTGCCATTTACCTCATTTTCCTCCTTCTTGTCTCTTTGCACATAGGGACTTCTATATGGCTGCAGCGTGTCCTCCCACCACGCAGGGTCCACACGGCTCTTCCTCGTTGCCGTCATCCACACCGGGTCATACCTTTGTGTCACATCCCTGACGCTCCCATCGTTGTCAAATCCCAGGACGTAGGAGAGTGGCTTTGTGGCATATGTGAAGCACAGCTGGGGCTGGCCAACATTGCCATGAACACAGTCTACACTCACCCACTTGTCCTCAGGCTCAAGGAAAACCTCCAGCCACTGGTCTGTGCTCGTTGCTTTCCTTACCTCCTGCTCCCCATCATCCTCATCACTAGAAATGATTTTGTTCCTCTTTCTTGCTGCAGAAGCCAAGGCTGGAGCTGGACTATCTGCTGGCCTAGGCTCAGCTCCAGATGGACTTTGAGATACCTTCAATATTGAAGTCTCAGCTTTGGGGCTTTTTATAGCTGTTACCTTCGACTTCTGGGAGCCCAATGAGCTCCTCCACCTTTTAGAGACAGTTTCAAAATCCTCATCAGAGAGATCACTCTCCTCCTCTGAAACCTCAAAGTCCGACACACTGCCCTCATCACTGTCACTCTCTTCTTTGTAACACACTTTGGAGGCCACTTGTCTCCGACGATCGTTCTTGGGCCTGACTGGAACATCTTTTTCCACTAAACTGCTCTCCCTGTTACCAGATTCCTTCTGTCCCTGGCTGCCTGCAGTCATCTTTGATTTGTGTGGCCTTTTGGGCTGAGCAGTTTTGGGCTTCTTCGGCTCCTTGTTGTCTTCTTCACCCTCTGAGGATTTCTCATCCTGCTTGGCTTTTTTGCAGGGGCATTTTTTGGCCACAGCTTTGAGTGTTATGGCAGAGCTCTTCTGCCCCTCAAAGGTACTGCTGAGATACTGCTTCTGGGATGAGCTCTTCCCCTGCAAAGGAACGTGCAAGGTCACTTTTTAGGCTAAGATGTTAAAAGTGTAGACTGAAATCAGCACGAGGTGCATGCAGCCCAAAGGGTGGTCAGTCTGCGTGTCAGAAGGACCTGAAAACTTCAGGCAAATGGCTGAAGAGAGCAGCAAGTGTTTGCTGTCTTTAAAGTTTGAAAGACATTTAAACCCACTGAAGCACAAGAAGTCTTTGCTGAAACACACAAAATGGGTGGGTTTTCTTAAGGAGAAACCTAAAAATTAAGTGTTTGTGTCTTCTGCACTATAGACAGAACATGGTCACCCCCTGGCTCATGCAATGATTCATTTCAAGCTGCAACAGCCAGAAAGTTTTTCCAATCCTGCTCTCTGAACCAGTGACCTATTCCATGTTCCACACACCCAACACAAACTACCTTTGCTTTTGTCTCCTTGAGAGGAACAGGCTGAAGAGACAGCACGAGGCGACACAGCAGCTGTAGCGCTCGCAGGATGATTAAAAATATCTGCAGAAGAGAAAACAAAGCATGTTTTAACCTTTTTGTCAAGGTATATTAACAAAAAACCCTCTTGAAACTCTTTGCAACCTGGGTTCTGTCACAAATCATTTTCATTCCTACCTTTCACCCAGTGCTGTGTACAATGACCCAGTGTGTAGGTAGCCCAGTTGCTTCCTAAAGTATTGCACAGTCTTACTTATGTCACTGCTGTGACAGGGATACTGCTGTTAACTCACTGATGAGGAACAAACTCCTGAAGAGGCTACATCACCCATCCTGCTGGAGCAGCAGCAGTAAGTCTGCCAAATCCAGTTGGGCACAGTTCAAATTGAAAAGTTTACTCACAGGAGGACTCCAGGTAAAAATACAACAAAAAGAAAAAGCCACAGAATCACCCAAGTCACCAATTTGTGTTCTCCAAATCCATTCCTCAAACACCACTTTGTGTCTTCTCTGACACCACTCATCAAGCATCCAAACTCAGCAACCAGTCCTGCTCTTCCCAGTCACTTACGTGAACCAACTCTTCCTCATCCCGTGCAGCATAGATGGCAAAGCGCCTCTCCAAGGTTGACTGAAGGGACTCTCCTTTTTCAGTTGAAAGCTCATCATTGATAGTGAAGGTTCCAACAAACCTGAAATAAGAGATACCTAGTTATGGTCTAGCATTTGTGACTCTACCCTTCAACTTCATAGTTCACCTTTTCCTTCTGTGCAAAGGACACACTCTCACCCTTGTCCTTAACATCAGAAAAATCACTGAAAATCAGCAATTACATGTAGCCCTCTCCCTGAAGCCTGGCTCTACGTTCTGTGTGAGAGCACGACAGAGCTTTACCATTTCACCAAGTTGGAAAGGCAGTGGAGGTCCACCTGGTCTGCAGGCACTTTAGTGAAGCGGGTGGGGATGATGGACAGGCCAATGGCATGAAGCTCTGGCTGGCTGCAGATCCTGTTTCTGTAGAAGCCATTTGCTAATAAACACAGAAGGTGAACCTGAGAGAGGAAAGTTTCTACAGTGAATTCACAAGAGCTTTTCTTTGCATGGTAAAAATAAGGAAGGCTTTACTGCTCCCTTTAACAGACAGGCAACAATGAAGCCTCCCAAGCACACGTGAGGTGGACACGGAGCTGTCCTCAGATCACCATCAGAAGACAGTAAAGCCTTGAAGTCCCTGTGTCTCCTGCTCTACAGGACTGATGTTAACTGACAGAATGGGCAGACAACACACTCAGTGAAGAAACACACATCCCACTCACACACACCTGCTTTGAGTTAGAATTTTACTAATGCAGTGATGTTTCTAACTTACAGTTTAGAAGTCTACTGAGCAGAGAGCACTGCAGGCCCCACACTATTTGATCAAAATTAGTTTCTTCTTATTTACAAATCAGTTCAAACATCTTTACGCTCATACTGTTCTCTACCAGGGTTCTCTGTGACCAATACCTTGTGTGTGTCCTCACGAACCTCCTTGCTGAAACGCTTCATCATTCTCCGAATGTACATCTCAAACTCAGCTTTCCTCTTTTCTCTGCACAAGATCACACAAGAAAAGGATGTGGTGGGGTTTCTATGGACCTGCCTTCCTAGATTCCTGAACTGGATCAGTTCACAAAGAGAACCCATCGCAGGGAATTTTCTGTGCACACTGAACAGAAGTTTAGCTACTGTCTGTGTGAATAGGCATGTAGGATGCATGTGACCAATCAACTGTGAACTCAATGTACCTGACTACTAAGAGATTGGTATATGCAGATGGCCTAAATTCTACCAGTTAGTTTTGGACAGGTCAACATTAAACTTTTAATTCCGTGGTGCAATGCTCCCAGATGCTGAGGGCTTTCATTTGACCATCTATTCACACCTCAGATGTGGACACACAGAGGCTTCCACCTGAGCTGTTAAGATATTTCCAGTAAAACAATGTCATTCACCCACAGCTCTCCTTGAAGAGAGCTACTGCTGTCCCTGGTTTGGGGATATTAAAGCACAGTGGAGTTGCACACTTGATTTTCAAGGGAACTGAAACGCCTCTATTCCCACCACTGAAGATTTCTGGTACCGTCAGTGTGCAAACTGCTCTCCATCCATAACCTTACATCAGTCTAAGCCAACGTCATCTGCACAAAGTGGGGATCTCCACCCAGAACACAGTAAGTCAGTGACAGTCAAGACTTAGCATACTGTGAACTTCATCCTTTGATGGCCCTCCACTGTCTTCCCTGTTCTTACCTCCTCTCTCTTCTCTTCAGCAGCTCTGGGGTTTCAATCTCTATCTCAACAGGGTTGCTTGGCAACACCGGAAGAACAGCAGCTTCTAACTTATCTGTGGCAGGTTCCTGGAGTTCTGCAAAAGCAAAGCTCGGTTGGTATCATGTCCTGTGTCCTTTACTGGGATGTCACAGTTCTGAATCTTCAAACTGGCTCATTCCCAGCTGCTCAATATTAGACACAGACAACTTTGCAAGTGCTTTGTGCATGGTAGCATGATTTTAACAGAAGCCAACAAAGCCAAATTCAAGGCACCACCATCAGGTCAGTAGCTGTCTGGCTTTTTTCTACTTTGGAACCATTCTAAAAGCATTGTGAGATATGAGCTTTTACAGATACAGATATCTACATGGAACATACTTTAGGTATACAGAATATATATACATTTACCTGAATCCAAATGAGGAACGGTTCCAAACTCAACTTACACAAAAAGAAGTGTGTAACAATATTTACTCCTTAAAATGAATAAACATGTATTTGTTACCTTCCACATCTTCCCATTCATCTTCACTTTCATCGTCATCACCAGTATTGTCTTCATCCATCTCCTTTTTAACAGGAGATTGTCCCTGCAACTTTATCACCTTCTGAGGGGGCTTCAGTGAGTCACTGTTAAAATGATCATAATGGCTTAAGAGCAGGAAATGTAGCTGCTTGCTTACTTGACAAAAACAGAGAAAGGACACACTAAAAATAGGGAAATAAATGAAGCGTGACCTCTGCATCAGTAGCAACAGATTATTTGACAATTAAACACAGGTATTTTCTTTGTAAGACCATGCTGATAGTATATTTGGATTCAAAAAACCACCACAGAACGGTAAGTTTAAAGATTTCTGCTTATCATTTTAACCCCAAACCTCATGCCAACGTTTCTATTCACGCTGGGTTCCATAATGCCTCCCTAGTCCCATGTTAGAACTATGTCAAATGAAATAAAACTTTATATTTAAACCATTACATTTGAAAGGCTCACATATCTGCTTCCTGTACAGACTATCTTCCTTAGGACTGGCTCTGCAATGAATAAGACAGTAGTTCTATTCAGCTCTGTGACCCAATGTACTAAATTGGACTGATAGGCTAAAACAAACTGCTTACAAGCACATATGCAGCATCAGATCCTAAGCAAATAACATCAAGAGAAAGCTCCTATAAACATGAATGCTAAGTGAACTTGCCTGCACACTTCCTCTTTGTAATGATTCTCTTTATTTCTGGGGGCTTTTTTATTTTCTTCTATCAGTGATTTTGCCCCTTTTTGCTTTGAAGGGTTATTTGTTGAGTTGGAACCTCCAGTATCACAATTTTCTTTCTTCTTCTTAGCTGGAGCTTTCGAGTTGTTTTTCTTTACACTGGGCTTTTTCTCTTCAAAATCATCTGCATGGGACAGAAGAAAGGAAGGTGTGTTAAAGTGTGAAGTTTCACCTCCATGGCAAGAATTGAACAAGATTTGTTTATGTAAGATACTCATAATGAGGTAATGTACAAGAATCCCAGCCTGGTTTGTGTTGAAGGGACCTTAAAGCTCCTCCAGCTCCAATCCCTGCCCCGGGCAGGGACCCCTTCCACTAGAGCAGTTTGCTCCAAGCCCCCGTGTCCAACCTGTCAAAGGACATAAAGACTCCTGAAGTCCCACCTATGGGATCAGCTGGAAAACAAGCGTCGTCCTTGCCACTCACAAGGAATTGTTATTCTGGGAAGCTCCTCGGGAGAACTTCCAGGGCACCGGTTGAGGTGAAGCAAACCCTTCCCGCGGGGTTCAGCCGCTGTCAGCGCTTCCAGACATTTGCGGGTTAAATCCGGTTCACACACGGATTTATCCCGATTTCCAGGTGCTACTCTAGTGCCCACCGGACCCCACGCCTGCCCCTGCGGTAACGGCCCTTCCCCTGCGCTGACACCCGCAGCTCCGAGCACCAGCGGCCCGGCGGGCACCATGGCCCGGCGATGGCGC